TACTATTAAATGTTATTACTATAACCATTACTTTTCTCTGGCATACCTGCAAAAACTTAACCCTCTAGAGCTTTTTAAGCAAATGATAGTACTGATATGCACTAAATGAAGGAGTTTTCAACCTGTATCCTACTCGAGAACTAGCCTTGAAATCGTACATGGGAACCTGAACTTCTTTCCCTTCTTTTAAATCATGGAGGTTCTGGAGCAATGTATCATAATCCGTCAAGCGTGGATCTGTTGTTCAAAAGAATCAGAATAATGTCAGTTTACTGCTTTGCTAGCACTCAATTAAAATACTCAACATCTAAACGGGACATGTAAATATTCAAATAAAACCTCAAGGCCATAAGTATATGTCGTTTTCTACTCATACATGAAATTGCATCAACATTAGACGCAAAAACAAAGGATAAGAACAACAACTCAAATTGAAGGCAGGTATGAGTCAAAAGTTACATGCTAGGATCAAAATATGAGTTACCATCAAAGTTTCCATCGACAATTCTACTAGCTTCGTTATAGTTGTCCATCGATACGGTGGCAATGCTGGGCATGAAGTTGAGTATCTTTTCTGTAAATACAGTCTTCCCTGCTCCAGAAGGACCTGCTAATCCTACCAATATTATTCCATCATTTTTTTGTGCCAACAACTGGCATGCACGGATGACAACAAAAAACCCCTTCTCGAAAGACAAAGGTTCTTGGATTGAAACAATCTCATGGCGATCACAATCCTTTCTCTTGACCAGCCGAACTTGATCTTTTAAGAGGCCTGCTCTTTTATGTTGTGCTTCAATACTAGAAGCATCTTGAGGCATTGTATGAAAGCAATCTCTGGTATAAGTTGCAAAAACAAATAAATAAGCAGCAGCAACAAAAAATTATAGCACTAAAAGCAACAGGCAATATTTTTTTTTCAGCTAGAGACCGATAGCCATTTGCTCTCTCTTTATCATTTCAACATAAAAGATGCATGTATAAAACCAGAAAATGATCAAGTCCCAATCTCAATCAACGATAGAAATCCCCCGACTATATTTTGTTAATCCCACATGTGTTCCTTTGTTTTTCGACAAAATGTTGAAGAAAACATGTACAGAAATTGCCTAATTTTAAGGTTTTCAATAAACCAATTGTCAAAACATAAGTTGAATTGCATGATTTCGACAAATGAGATGGAAATCGAGACAATTCATTGTCCACGTAAAACTTAGTATACCCTACTAATCCATGAAGGAGAAAATCAAAGCATCAAAGGCTAAACCGCAACGATTATTGGTGGCAATGACCATTAATACTTCAATTTCCACCACTAAGACTCCAATAACTTACAGGAATATACTGTAAAAAGGTTCAAAAGATTAAGAAGAAAAGCAAAATCAAGCAATGGAAATCAAACTCATTAGTTTTGTCTTCTTCATTTGCTGAACTCTGTCAGTTTTCAGGAAAAAGACAATATGGAAAATCCTACAAAAAAAGGTACCAAAATAGCATCTTTAAAGATCAAAACAAACTTCTTTCACATTCAACAAGCGACCAACACACCAAAGAAAACACACACACCAAATTTAACAAAGAATCAAGCAGTCAAACAGAAAAAAAAGGAAAAATTACCTCTAAACTTATTAGAATATATATTCTTACACGATATTTAGATCTAAAACAGACACTTTTACCCGAAAAAGATGAAACCCAGAGTACATAATGGAAAAATAAGCAATATCCTGATTCCAGAATTAATGAAAAATAAATAAAAACGGAAAAAAAAGATTTGGCATTGATGACGAGTGTACTCACCGAGTCAGTTTTTAAAGCAAATAAGACGCAGTGAGTTCACCGTTTCTCCATACACATTAAAAAGAAAAAAGAATTGGTTATTTATTCTCTGTATCTTTCCCGGAATAGAAAAAAAATGTGATTTTCCGGGATTTTCTTTATTAATTTTCTGGGAAGCCGGGAATTCTTGAGAATCTACAAAGTGAAAAGGAAAAAAGGAAAACTTTTTCGAGAATGGATTCACATATAAAAGCAAAAGAAGACACACACACACATATATATATATATATATATATATATATATATATATATATATATTATGGGATTAAATTACAAACAATGCATAAAAACAAAAGAATAAATTATTAGGTGCTACTCACTCAATCAGGGGAAGCCAACTCTTTGTTATCCGGTTGCATTAGTATTATATGATTAAATATGTCATAATTAAATGTCAATCTACAATCAATCGCGATTTATTACAATTTTAAGTAAAACATTCAAAAATAATATCACTATTTAAGGCTCAATCCCACATAGTATTGGGAACAAGTGTTGGTAGTGCTCAATCTCACATAGTATTGGAAACATTATTGTGAATGGTATTTAAGGCTTGGCTTTCCTATTTCATTGTTGAGTGATAGAGAACAAGAGGAACTCTCGCGCGCCGCCGTCTCGTCTCGTCTCGGGTCGGGTCGGGTCGTGGTCGTGGTCGTAGTAATACGTGTCTTCGACACGTCCGCGCGAATACTATCTTTTTAGAGAAAATTCTTAAGAAACAAATGCAATACCGTCGTTGCGATTTTGGACTATCGTAACGAACTTGGAATAAATCGTAACGCGAACTTAGACTATCGCAATACGAATATGTAAATCGCAATGCGATAGTCGAAGTTCGCGTTGCGAATCTGGAAACTGATTTGCGATATCGGAGATCTCGTTGCGAATTATCGATCGCATTGCGATTTAGTTGGTCATTTTAACAAATCTAAAAAAATTGGTTAAAATCATATATTATAAGGCATTTTTGATCACTGAGGTTATTTTCTCATATATATATATATATATATATATATTTATTTATTTATCAAAACATTAAAATTTCGAAAAAGAAGATAAAAATCAAAGCTTTCTAACAATGAGAAACTATCAATAAAGCAACGGTGTCAGATGAAAGTTTGGAGCATCTACTATAAATATTACTACTGATAAAATGGAATTTAGTATTTAATTTTTAAATTATTAATTTAAATTCAAATATCAAGAGATCAAAAATTATTTATTTAATTTTAGAGTTCATGAAAATTTAAATTGACGATTGATTTTATCATATATCTATTTAATAATTTAAATTAAATAATTAAATAATAAAAAATAAATTAAAATGGGATAATCAGTTTAATATCGTTTAAACAAGATATTGAGTTCGAGTTCGAGTTTTTGTATATACAGAAGAGACTCACCTACTAAAATCATATGTGCGAATCGGATCGGTCCGGAAGTAAATATATGTATATATATTTAATTAATTACATGTCATATTCTTCGTGTAATCGTATTTATGCAAATATAAGGAAGTGGTCTATGTGAGTCTGCATGTTAGGGTTTACAGACATGATCGTAAGAACATTATTTAATCCATGCCAACATTGAAGATTTTCATTGTTTCCAAGTTGTAAGGAAGCATGCCAACCTTCGTGGATCACCTTGTCTTAAGGACATATATATATATATATATATATATATATATATATATATATATATATATATATATAAACGTAAATTACAAGAATTTAAAGACACCGTGCTTAAACCTATGACCTCAAAGAATAAAAACAAATCATTAACCATTGAAATTATTTAGTCCGTACTACAAATAAAGATTTAAATAAATTTACTCATATATCATCATAAAAATAATTAAATACTAAAATGATATATATTATTGACAATTTATCGAAATTCTTTTCTACATTGTCATGAAAAAAAATATATAAATATTGTCATGTCACATAAGACAATTGTTGATGATCATTTATATGTTTTCTTAATCCATATTATTATTTTAGGATAAAGTATACAAATAGTCCCTCTAGTATAAGGTACTTATTAAGTTCATCAATTATTAAAAGTTACAAAATGATCATTTGACTATAGAGTGTTAGTTTGTTGAGTTCTTTGACTATTAAAAGTTATAAAATAGTCACCCACTATTCATTATGTTCTAAACCCGTCTTTTTCCATTAAAAAATTAACAGTATTCTGAATTAAACGTTAACCTACTGGTTATAATATGATAAAATATGATTTCAGAATTTTAAACAATTATTATATCCAATCATCATGTCAACGCCCAACTTAGACAATCAACAATTTTTAAATGGAAAATAACAAGTTTGGAACATAATAAATAGTTAGGTGATCATTTTATAACTTTTAATTGTCAAGAAACTCAACAAAGTAATACTCTATAATTGAAGGACTATTTTGTAACTTTTAATATCAAATAACTTAATAAAAATATTCTATAATTAGGAGACTATTTATGTACTTTACCCTGTTATTTATAGGTCCAACAATGATAGGGGTCTTGATGCCTGTGAAAATGGAGACATAAGTTCAAATTCCGAGAAAAGAAAAGAAAAAGTTATCTTTCGGTCACTAATATCTGTTGAGCACTCAGGCAAGTTGCATGGCGATGTAAAGTCACAACTTGTGAATTGACTGAACCTTATCAATGGATTAATTTACACAAACCAAATGAAGAACAATATCTGGTAAAGATGTGACACGACAATTATTGTGACAAGGGAGTGGTCCTTAAGGGACCAGGATCCTTGAGCTGTCGGATTCTAGCCATTTTTGGAGATACTATCAATACATGGGCCAATGGAATAAGCATTAGCATTTAGAATCAAGCAATTCACAAACATATATGTATAGGGAGTTTATGCATATATCATGTATATATGTTTCGAGACTGGTTATTCGAACCCGGATACTGTCCGTGAATCGAACTCGGAACTCGGTAATTTAAACAAACAATCAGTTTCAGCCCAACACATTGGTTGTGAGCCGGAAAGAGGTATGCTCCGGCATCGAATCGATAACAAGTTTTCGTTTTGTTTTTTCAGTTGAACTCTCTGAAATGCTTCTGTAACTCGCCACGAACACAATATTGAATCCATTTGCAGAAGTATTCCGTCCGGCTTGAAAGAACATCCATGGCTAAAACTCCATCTGTTTACAGTGAAAGAAGATAAAGGGAGTCTAGTGAAAACCAAAACTCTGCACAAAAGGAATGTGTTCTCATTCACTGTGTACTCGATATACCGGAATGGATCCCGGCCACTAAAACTAAGAGTTTGGTGCAACATCGATATACCGCATGAATAATGGCTTTCGTATAGAAATATTACCCTCTCACAAGTCCTGTTAATGTGGTATTTCTTCTTTCCAGATCAATCTTCATGTTCATCTTCAGAATCTGCATCGGATAATAAGAGGGACGTTAGCTGGTTGACAATGCAAGTATATATATACACAATAAATCCATGTTTTGCATGTCAGAAATGCTTATCGAGATTGATTTATCACTTCATATGGTTCATCTACACCGAAAATGCAGTCCTCACCTGATCGAACATCTTCGCTAAGTTTGCCTCTCGCTTGGATTTGTTTGACAAGCATTCGATACATAAGTACCCACCAATAAACATGAAGAACCAGCAGGCAAAATAGGAGTGTGTTGAACAGATAATAACAAATCGGTCCATCTACCGGATGCTTTTCCTTGTCCAATGTTAGAAGAACTTCATAACTGCAACAGATGAGAGAGATAAGATAAAACGAAAAGATATTATCGAAGTTTCTAATCTCTATACTGGAAGTGAGACGGCATATGAATTGCTGCTTGCTTCATTGAAGTAAATAGTTGTTATTTGGTGTAAGCATAACTTTTTATACAATTGCTTTCCTCGTCCCTTGATTTGAATGCCATGTGAATCGATTCAGGTGAGGTTCTCAAGTTCTTAAGACGGAACCTTATAAAAGTTGGGCAGAATATCAGACACGAATACGAACCTTGTACTCCAGAGGATCCAGAAAGGGTAGTAAATGAGGCGCAGTAAGACCCAAGACAAAACAAAAACTAGAAATGCAGAGCTAGCGAGTGTTTCAGCCCCACTATATTTGCTCATCTTCCCTATCTCCAGAAATACATCGCTAGCATCATGAATTGCCAAAACAACCGAACCAACACGACCAAATCTGCAATAAACCGGCATAAGAAAAGAAACAACTACTGTATAAAATTTTAAAAATCGGGTAAGAACCTCTCAAACCATACCTAAATATGTAAGATAACACAATGAGGATGACAGTTGCAAAATGATGACCCATTGAGACACCAAAGTCAGAGCGCCTTGTTTCCCAGAAAATCAGAGCAAATATAGAGTATGCGTAAAATCCAGCAACATACATGTAAAGTCCCTTTAGTTTCAATCTGGAAAAGAAACATGATAGATCCTCATATATCTGAATGTGTAACAAACGGAAGGATATGTTCAAGCAAGAATTGATCGAAGCGAAACGAAGAGTTATATCTATTTTTGAAGTCAATGAAGCTTACTTAATTTTCTGATCAGGCCAGACATGGTCTCCAGGTCCTACCCAAAAGTTTCTGGTATTTCTAAACCAGGGCTCGTTGTTAGTTACATAGAGAGCTAGGATTTCTGCTGAAAGATAATAAATGCACTTCCAAGCCGACTCCTTAAATTTTCTAATCTTCTTCCTTTTCTCTTCTGTATCGCCATCCAGCATCTCATGTCCCTTCCCGAAAATCAACCGCCTTCCAACTTTCTGAAATCATGTACGATATTTTCTAACGGTGACAGAAAACAGAGAAGAAACAAAGGAGAGAATAGACCAGTCTAGCTACACCAAGATAGCAACCACATTGCATAAAAACAATATGCCAAGCCTCATGGTTCAATATATTCCATTTATGCTTGCTCTTATCAACTATGACACTTTATCTGTACTCGAATATCACAAGCAAATTGCTACAAAACGTCTCCCTATGTGATTAAAGTTTTCAAACTTTTGTCAAAATACTTATATATCAACACCAATAGCACTGGCATTTACAGAAAATAATCTTCAAGCAAATCCAGTGCCACAAGCCTACATAATGAAGTCACCTATTAACGTGAGGATACCCATGTTTGAACATGCTATCATGAAGGTAAAGATATTAAGGTCTTTTTTTAAGTAAACGAGTTTACTTCGAAAATTCCAGAAAATGGTAAAAGAATCTAGTACTATTGTTTGTTGAACAATTCATAAACATACAAGATCTGGTCAAACAACATCCTCAGCCGAAGCTTTACCAATATAAGAAGTGTTATGTCAAAACAATGTCATGACACTTATTTTTAGTCATCCTCGGAATGACAGTGCCAAGCACCATAAACAAAAAGTCTCATTTCCACCTATTTACATTTCCTCCTCCTGGCATTAATCAACCCATCAAACATCTAAGTAAACTAAGCAGAGCTTGAATCAAGCTAGCATTTAGCTGATACAAATGCAAAACCACCCAGTTAGCCCAACTCAGTTCCGTATTGATCAAGCTACATCGAACAGCCCACGTCCATAAACTACTATGACAAGGCACCAAAGAATACTTCAATACAAGTTTGTGACATGCGACCTTTCAAAGAATTCTCCAGTTCTAGCTCAGCTAAACATATAGCAAAGGAAACATAACTTGTAGTGTATCGTGGAAGATCCGAATTGTTAACCGAAAGCAAGTCTTTCGGAGTGAAAACTAGAAATTTGAGATTGATAAAAAAGAATAGAATAATTACATTACAACCATCATGCAGTAAGCCTGAAGTTCAAGCTTCCACATCTCATCTTCTAATGTCAGCAATATAAACGAGTGCTTGTCAATGGCATAGTTTTAGCTTGTAGGATAATGCAACAGACAATACCAATGCATTTATATAGCCAACAACACTCTCATTAAGTCTAAGGCTAATGGATTACATTAGTGAAAAGTCCTGCAAAAGAAAATTTGCTCAAATGATTCTCCATATCTTAATCTTCATTCAAAATCCTAATTTTCTTTTAAATTCATGAATCTAATATGGGTCAATCCTAGAAAAACAAAAACGAACCCATCAATGCAATTCAATAAAGATAAAAAAAAGGCAACATTAAATACACAGAAAGAAACAAAAAATTCAAAACTTTTTACCATTTTGTTCTTTTAAAGCAATGAAAAAAAATCCAATCAAGTCATCATAAATATGGATGAAGATATAAAAAGGGGGGGGGGAAGTACCTCAAAGATGAATCTATCGAGAAAGAAACGAACAGATGGGAAGAACAGAGCAAAGAGAGGAAGAACAATGAAATCTCCATAAGCAGGGTAAGCTTCTTGCTCCCAGTCGATTGATTTGATAAACTGAATCGAATCCATTTTCGATTATCGATCTTTGATCCGAAAATTTTCTCAGGAAACAATCAGAAAAATAAAAATAAAAATAAAAAAATGAACACGACAAAGGGCGTGAACTGTGGATCACATGCACACAGAGTTGCAACTATGTCCTCGTCTCTGTTTCTAATCTTTTAATTTTAATTTATTTATGGTTTAATTTTTGCTCCAGTCCCTGTGGTCTTTTGACTTTTGAATTTTTAGGGTAAAGTACATCACATGCCATTGAATTCTACTCAAAAAATCATTTTGATCATTAAAATTTTAAAAATGATAAAATTTAAATTGAACGTGGGATCGTCGCTAAATAAAGTGACACCAGAGTGATGTGCGTCTTCGATCTTCACAATAGTATCCGCTACAATATTTGCTTCACAGAGAATCCATTTAAATTGAACTTCTCATTGTTGTCGATATAGATTACAAATGACACGAACCAAGAAATGACAGCTTTCCGTGTGTGTACGAGTTAAGATATAGGTATTTAAAAAAAATATAACTTCAAAAATAAATTCAAAATACAACACGTAATCAAATTTAATAAAAAATTTCAGGGTATTTAATTATATAAACACACATATATTTAGAAGTTAAATAGGAATTAGTAGAAGGACTAAATTTAAAAGATTCAGAGAGTGCATGGACTGAGGTTAAAATTAGACCTTTATTTACTATTTTTTATTTTAATGGAACTAATGGAATTATCTTTCCTAAAAGCCTAAAGCTGATTGGGGATAAAATAATGAATGGGGAAGAATAAATTTATTAGATTCAGTATTATTGACCCTTGGTTTTGTTAGATTTTCTAAATTGCCACTCATTTTTCGGTTCACCATGTTGCCCTTACATTGAAATTTTAGTAGACCCGGTCTGGTTCACTTACTTTGTACTCAATCATGTTGATTTTTTTATTTATAAATTTACAATAATTATAAGATAATATTTATTCAAATACTCAATCTTTTGACAATAAACGTTTATACCCCTACATATGCATTGTTTAAATTCGAGATCTTAAAAAATAACGACAAATCCTTTAACAAATAAGATCGCGTGATTCGTGCATCACTCGTGAATTTAATTCATTTAAGGTAAAAAGGTATCAAAGATTCCTGTACCTTTGGGGAATAAAATCAACGTGTCCCTTGTATTATTTTCTCTCTCGATGTGTCATTCTAACTCATAAAATAAACTCAATGTGACCTTTTGACTAAAGTTTTTTCGTCGTTAACCGTTACAGTGCTAATGTGACAGTTTACGTTGCTGACATGACAAACTATGGTGACATATCATATTTAAATTGGTTCTTAAACTTTTGAATGTTCTAATTTCATCTCTAAACTATGACCCTTATTTTAGATTATTCCCCATACTTGTGAACATTTTAAATCCATCCCAAATTATTGTATATAGTATTCATACTTTTTATTAGTCCAAGCTGTATTATTACTTGTTTGAAAAATAAAATACATGTTAAACTATGGTTGAAACTAATTACACATTTGGATGAATTTAGGGATAAATTTCGAATATTCAAAAGTTTAAGACCTATTTAGAATGAGAGTTATAATTTGAGGATGAATTTAAAATGTTCAAAAGTTTGATGACTAATTTAAAACGAGAGTCATAGTTCGATAATGAATTTGCAATGTTAAAAAATTTAAAGATAAATCTAAAATAAAAATCATAATTTAGGGGCTTGTGATACAATTAAATCTAATAAAAGTTAAATTGAATAAAATATATAACTATTTAAAACTAAAGGGTAAAGTGCACAAATGGTCCCCAATTATAAGATATTACTTTATTAAGTCTTTCGACTATTAAAAGTTACAAAATGGTCCTCCGACAATGAGTGTTGCTTGTTGATTCTCTCAACTATTAAAAGTTACAAAATGATCATTCGACTATTTATTATGTCCTAAACTTATCATTTTCATTAAAAAATTTGACGGTTGTCTAAGTTGGACGTTAAATGATAACTGTGATATGATAAAATCTGATCCCAAAATTTCAAATGACTATCATATCTCAGTCATCATATTAATGTATAGCTTAGACAACCGCCAATTTTTTAATAAAAATGATGAGTTTGAAATATAATAAATAGTCGGATAACTATTTTAGAATTTTTAATAGTAAATGGACTCAACAAAATAATATTTTATAAGTTTTAATGTTAGAAATATTTAATAAAGCCATACCTAAAATGAAAAAAAAAACAATCATGAATAGAAAGAGATGTTTGAAATCGGACCGGATCGGCCGGTTCAATCAGTTCAATTGAGAATCGTTATTTAATTCGGTTCAATCTAAATCGGTTGAACCGTTATTAGTGAATCAGACAGAACCGCTGAATCGTTCAAACAGGACCGGCTGAAAACCGAAAAAAACCGGGATTTTTATTTTATTTTATTTAAAAAATTAAACCAAACAACATTGTTTGTTAAACGAGCCAAGTCGAACTCGAGTATTGTCGAGCTCGACTCGAACTTGAAAACTTTAAAAGTAAGCTCAATTCAACTCAAACTCACAAGCTAAAAATTATCAAGTTAAACTCAAACTCGAAATATAATATTGAAACTTGAACTAAAAAAGGCTTGAACTCAAAAAAAAATTAGAAGCTCGATTGAAGCCTAAAATTCGAGCTTGATTGAAGTGAAAGAATAGTTATATAATTATAGTTATATAATTTTGTTATGATTTTTTAACCCCAAATTTATTTTTTAATTATATTTATTATTTAATATATTTTACCTTAAATATTATGTTGTAGTTAATTTGAATCATTTTGTTTTACTTGATTTTATGGTTTTTAACTTATATATATATTATGACTTGCTTTGAATATGATTTGTGATATAAAAAATTATTTTTTATTAATTATTTTTGATATTTTTATTTAATTTTTTAAATAATTATGACGTCGTTCGGTTCTTCCGACCAATCGAATCGGTTCAATCGATTGAACCAATAAATCGATAACATGACCAATTCGTTAACGGGTCCGGTTCTGAAAACCATTTACAACCATCCATTCACATGTTTGAATAAACATTCAATTGCAGTCAAAGGCTCAAAGCTGATCAATTGCAGTTGCAGTGGTAAGTACTTTAAATATTTGCAGAGGAAGTGGGAGCTCACCTAGACCCGTAAACGAATATTTGCAGAGAAAGTGGGAGCTCACTTAGAACCGTAAACGAGTCGAGTTCGAGTATTATTGAACTCGATTCAATTTAAAAAATCTAAAATAGAACTTAACTTGGTTGAAAATTTATGAGTAGACTTGAATTCGAAATCATAAATTAAAGTTCGAAAAAATTTGAAATAAAAAAAATCTTAAACTTTTTCAGTTGAACCTGAACCTGAACCTGAACCTTAAGTACATAAAAACCTTCTACTACATTTCAAAAAATTAAACACATAAATATTAATATTATTAATAATTTATTTTTTTTAAAAAAAATAAAAAGTTAATATATATTTTTTGAATTGCTTGCGAGTATTTTAAGTCGAATATCAAATAGATCGTTTCAACTCATCAAAAATTGAGTCGAATTCATTCGATTCAAATATTTATAAAACATTAATTGAATTGATTTTAAATAACTCATTATCTATCTCGTCTCACTAGTTCTAGTAAGCTCAATCAACCTTTTCCCCCATTAGAAGGCCCACAATTGGGCTAGGAACTTCCCACCCTCTACCTCCATTGCCACCAGCCCACCACTAGCAGCTTATGGGCATGGTCTTTCACTCTATAAGTATTTGATCGAGTTGATTCGAGTATAAATATTTTGAATTAATCATTGACAAGTCTTATTTAACGATTCAAATTTTATATATAAAAGAGTTAACTGCATCACATGTTCTTAAAGTATGATTCTCATTTAAATTAGTTCATAAATTTTCTAATGTTCCATTTCAACCCTAAAGTATATTTATTAATCTAAATTAGTCTTCAAACTTTTGAACTTTTTAATTTCATCCCCAAACTATGATATTCGTTATGATATTCGTTCTAAATTAGTCTCCAAGTTATATTATTATATGTTTGAAGAAAACAAAATATAGTTTAAAATACGGTTGAAGCTTTAAACTAATTATATATTTGGATGAATTTGGGGATGAAACTAGAATATTCAATAGTTTGGAAAACAATTTAGAAAGAGTGTCATAGTTTAGGAATGAAATTATAATGTTTAAAAGTTTAAGGACTCGTTTAGAATGGGAGTCATAGTTTGAGAATGAAATTGAAATATTGGCATTTTTAGGCATTTTTACAAGACCAACACTTCCACAATGTTTCTTCGTGGCCTCAGCTTGCACCATTACCATTTACCATATTGGTTTAAACTTGGCATTGATCAAGAGAGACTGAACTGAATGATCTGGTAATGCTGTGCATCGAAGCATCTCCGAATGTTAGTTGAATGAAGTGGACGGAAAACTCGACTTTCGCGCATCATGTACGGAACGAGGGACGTCGTAATCGTTTAGGCAAGATCGAGTTAGTTAAGCTTTGCATTTGCTTTCTCGTCGGCGTGGGCGTGAACTTGACATCCTTATTGTCTACTATGTCTACTACAACAGCATCAGATGTTAGAAAAACCTTGGCAACCGATGCTCCAAACAACATCGAACTTCCTGGTCGAACAAAAGTGTCGAATCGATAGGTGCATTCTACTGTATACATACATCTAGAGGCTCAATTTTATTGATGATACCTTTGTAGTACCTTTGTAGCATCGTTGTTAGATAAGACCTACAAGATGAAACAAGTGGAAGTATAATGAGGCTGAACCTGCAAATGCATAATGCTGCAAAGGTACGGTTAAATTCAGAGACCGACCTTCTCTACAACAACAGTACTCCCGTTAACACCGGCATTTTTGGCGATTAGTGTTGTCGGATAGCTTAATGCTCTCTTGAATATCTCAGCTCCGATCTTCTCACATTTGCAAACAAAATGCTTGTTAATTTTTCGTCAGTAGACGGTAGAGACAGAGCAACGGTGAGATATATATGTTGTATCCTTCATTACCTTTTGCTCTTGATTATCTAACAGGTTTTTTATTCCATCCACCTTTTCGGAGAGCCGCAAGAGGATACACCTACCTCCGACTACGACACCTTCCTCAATTGTCGCCTGCATAATATCAAGTCAGAAGCTTGATTTTCATCATTCGAAAAACCGATCCCTGGATTTGTAAATCATTACCTTGGTTGCATTTAAAGCATCTTCAATTCTTAGTTGTTTGTCCTTCAATTCAACTTGTGTTTGTGCTCCAACCTATCATATAATTGATGAAATTAGGTAGATTACTTCTTATGCAAGTCTTCCAACATTTCTAAAGCACTGAGCTACCTGAAGAATTGCAATTCCTCCTGATAATCTGGCAATTCTGTCATTGAATATCTTCTTTTGAAAATTCTCCTCCGTGTTCTGCAAATTAAGAGCTTGGAGGTTTGGCGTTCAAACCCGTTCATCGTCATGTGTGTAGTGTGTTATGTCACTACTAATTATACGTACCTCGACCAGATTTTGTATCTGAGAAACTCTTCTCTGAACTGCTTCTCGCGTGCTACCGTCGCTAACTATGTAGGTAGATTCCTTAGTAATCACGACCTTAGTCGCGGTGCCAAGAACGTCTTTCCCCACCCTATCAAGAGTTAAACCCATATCATTTCTGACCACCGTGCCTGAAATGATGGCGAACTCGATAATCTCATGTTTTCAATGGCTTTCTTCTAGCCGAAGGAACTACTTCATAGACATTCCTATGGTAAGAGGGTAGGGAATTATCTGTACGTTACCTCCGGTCAAGATAGCGATATCATCCAAGCAGTGGCTCTTGGGCTCACCGAAGGCCGAGCCTTAATTGCAGCTGCCTTCAGATCACCCTTGAGTTTGTTCTTAATCACTGGAGCAAGAGCTTCCTTCTCGATCTCCTCGGCAACGATCATGATCGGGTACTTCTCTTTAACAGAACTGTCCAATATTTTGAACATTTCCTTTGGATTTGTTATTTTCTTGTCAACCAATAGGAACTGCAAGCAAAGAATTACATACCCTCTAATCACTTTATAGGAACACATGCCATTTTTTCTTTAAGAATGTTTATACCTTGCAATTGTGGAACTCAACGATCATCTTTTCTCCATCGGTGATGAAGTAGGGAAGCAAGTACCCTCGATCGAACTGCATTCCTTCCACCGTCTCTAGACTGGTTTCAGTACATTTTCCTTTTTCAATTTTGACTACACCCTTCCTTCCAACTTGTTGAAGAGCATCCGAGATCATCTTTCCTACCGCGTAAACGTTTCCAACACTAACAGCAGCAACATGTGCAAGTTCATGATCCTCAACCTGCAAGTCCGACATAAGCACAGATACAAAACTTTGCACGTTTCTGAAAATATCATAATTTATTTAGCTATGCACTTCTCTGGACATCATTTTGAGTTGGGAAACAAGAGCGTTCGCCGTCTTCTTGATCCCGCAAGCAATTTGAACCGGATTCAATCCAGCTGAAACTACTTGGAAGAAACAAAATTACTGCATTTGCATCAACCTTCCCATAAAGAATCCTCCGTATTTCTGACTCTTACCTTCACACCTTCTGTAATCAAACCATGAGCAAGAACTATAGAGGTAGTGCAACCATGACCAGCAAGGTAATTTGTTTTTGCACCAGCTTACCTCACTAATTTAACTCCAACATTCTCCAATGGATCCTCCAGCTCAATCTAGACCAATTGAGATACAAATTTCAGAAAGAAAGTACCAAACTTTGAATTACATTAGACCATATGGAAGCTCAAATTACCTGTTTGTGAACAGTTTCTCCATCATTAACAATCTTGGGGGGTCCATACATGTTCTGAAGCACCACATTTCTCCCCTTTGGACCTAATGTAACCCCAATCAGCTCTGCCACTTTATTTACACCAGCCTGCACCATAGCAGCACGAAGAAAGAACAACTAAAACATCATCTGGGTTTAAGATTAAATGTGTTTTGGGATTTTTTTTTCAACTGACCTGAAGCTTCTTAGTGGCAGAGCCATCACGGTTGAAGTAAACTTCTTTAGCCATGGCTCTGGGCATTTTCAAGGTGGAATAATGTGAAGAAGATGACCTTCTGGGCTTCGACAGTGTTGGGTTTGTGAAAGATATCCCAGGTAGTGTAGATGGTGAACATGCCATGATTGAGTTTCTTGGGAGATATTTTCCGTATATAAAGAAACTGATATTCATGTATACATATATGGATGGAAGAGGAAAAAGAAGAAGATTATCTTGGGTCTTGGCAGTTGTTTTTGGCGCTATTCCATTTCCATGGCTATAACGTTTTCATGGGCTATATGTGGACCGGTCTTAAGAGCAGTTCCTAAAACGAAGAGATTCTTAAACGACAATACTGTTTGACTATGTTCAGCATTACTTGTCTGTCCCTTTAAAGGACAAGCAAAGCCTGCGTGTTTTATGGATAAAATTTGCTATTTATGCAGTGGGATCACTGCTCAACCAGCACCTGAACCGCAGGTTGTGCTTTGGTTCCTATTTTTGTGAAAACAATGTAAACTTGATGCCCTCACAAAAAAGCTGAAAAATAGTACTTTAGATCATGTTTTAGTGGGCAGCCTTTTTACAATATGTTTTGCTTAGTTACAGTAACTATTTTCAATGATGAAGCCACTACCAACACCATTTTCCACCACCATTTGTCCTCTTACTTGCCCCTGTTGTTTCCACTCCAGGAGCAGTAACATTGGTTAAATATAATCCATGTTACAGGTCAAAGTTCTTTACATAATCCATATATTCATGGGGTCAAATGATTATTAGATAAAACTCATGATTGAGTGTTTGATTTGTTTCTGAGAATGGATCACTGCTGATGCAAGTGTTGCCTTTATCGTATTCGGTTTCGGATTAGTGTTTATGCGGCGATATGGGTTGCAGATGAGTTATATGATAATATTAATCAGAAGATGTTATTGCATGGTTTGATTATAATCCCATACAAGCTCAAGCTTAGGCAAATGCTTGATTAAACATCATAGCAAACCGAGGAACATTAACATATGTTATATATATGTGTGTGTATATATATGGTGAAGATGACTCTTATCTCAATGAAGCAAGTCAACCGAGCTGTCACTGGATTGATTTGTGGACTCAGCTTTCAAGTGAGCAGTGTTGCAGGGGATATCTTCCAGTTCTCTGAATGAAAGGGAATAAGGGCTGTCGATTTTTACGTCAAACAGCATTTGGCGGAGATCGGAAGCTTCTTCCTTGAGCCTTGCATTCTCTTGAACGACACGGTCGTGGAACTCCGATATGTGGTTTAGCTTGTCTATGAGACTGTGGTTCTCGTTGCGGAGCCTGATTACCTGTGACCAAAGTTCATCCAGGTGTTTCTGTTTCCGCATCCTCGACCGACGAGCGGACTCTCTGTTGGATATCATTCTCCTCTGTCTCCTTTCGTCGATGATGTTGACCTGGTGCTCCTCTGCTTCATCTGAAGTCGAATTGTTGCTGATGCTTGAGGACAGTGTGGCGAATTCGAGAGCAGACATCGATATGTGGGAATTCGGTAGGCCGTTTAAGAATGTATTGATGTGATAAGATGGTATAGAGTTTTGCATCATACCAAGGTTGGCCGGAATCAGGATCGGGTTTTCCGGTGCTAGGTAGTGAAGTCCTCCGAGCTCACTGGGACCCATGGTTTTAAGTGGCGGAAGTCGAGGCCTGAAGCCAAAGGGTTCGATATATTGTAGTGAATGATTGTTGATGACTTTGAAGGTAGGGGAGGAAGGCACAAATGAAGAGCTTTTATAGGAGGAAAATTGTTTCTAAGGTGGGCCAGTTTCAGCAACAAGTGTAACAGTATGTATGTATGTATGTAACCACTTGCTTTACATCACATATGTTATTTCTTAAGGCAACAATGATATAGAAACATGTATGTATGTATGTATGTATGTATGTATGTATGTATGTATGTATGCATGCATGCATGAGCATCATGTTTATCATAGAAATTCAGATTTGGATAATCATATAGCATCTGATATAAAGCTTAGAAAAGAGGAAACTTGCTGAAGTCAATCCCAGGAGAAGTTTTCATAAATAAAGCACTTGTGCCTTATGACGCAATCAACTCTAGTTTAAAAGGTAAACCATTAAACAAATCATAGTTTCTTATGACTAATTTTATCATAAATTAGATGGCTCATGTGAGCACTTCGATTTTAAGATATAGATTAACATCATGACCTAAAATCCCAGCAATCTCATCCTCTTACATTGAACTGAACTGGAGAAAAAAAAACTATAGTCCCTTATCATTCAGGCTAATTATTTAATACTTGAGTTGAATTTATTTCTATCTGATATGGTATGGATTGAAAAATTCGAAGACGTCGAGTCAACAACAACACAATCTACCTGTGGGAATAGTTCATTGCCTGTTAACTGGTTATCTGGTTTCTTATTCTTTCATGACATATCATCGATTGGCACGATCACCACGTAAGTACCTAAAGTAGGTTTTGAAGTATCTTTGTCGATACATGAGCATGAGTTGTTTGTTGAGGCCCACACTTAAACATGATGAGAATGAGATTGGTTAAAAAATAAAGATTAGATTAAAAAAAAGCATTGGCAAATCACAGAAGTAGCATCTCATAAACGCATGTTTTAATGGTATTTGTTAATGGAAGAACAATATTCTAACCACGTGTAATTCGTTGCCGTGTTTCGTAACACTACATAGAGTTTAGGCGATTCTCCACTGATAAAACTACTCTTGGCTGCAAAAGAAATGAACATGTTTCAAATGCAAGGCATACAGAGTAGTTTAGGTAAGATAATTGGACATCGTGTAGAAATGCTCTGCATATTTGCCTTAATGCTCCTCGTGTATGCCTTGTTTTATGCATACATATATCTATGTATGTATCATGCATCACATGTAAGAAAATGAAGAATCAGAGACAAACTTTTAGAGCAACACCTGAAAAACCAAAACTGACAAAAGGAGTTGGACCAGGCATGATTGACTGATTGGTCATCATTCCTACAACTTGATAGCCTGTGGGTACCATTGCATATGCTATTCGTGGAATTTGAATGGTAATTTGAGCTGTTGATTCATGATTTCAGGTGCAGAATACGAGCAACTGACATGTACGACAATGACGATTTCGACTACACAATATGATCCGAGATGAATTTTCCATGTTCATCTATAGAAATTAGTACTAATGCCAATGAGTTTTGTTCACCTTTTGGATCACAACTCGCATCAAATGCATACACCATGTACAGGACTAATCCTTGGTTTGATTAATCATTGGAAAAATTGGGAGCTGAGCTAAAGTTCCAGAGTCCTACCAATTCAAAAAAAGTTTGAAACTAAAAGAAGAACAAAAAACAATGACTTACAGAGACATGCCTTTTTCTTTATCCTCATACATGCCTACCCTAGTATATGTTGCTATAGCTAGTGTGAGGAGAAGGGGCACCACAAACCTGAAACAAGTGCTGCGTACGGTGGGGGGCTCGATTTAACACCGAATCCATTTCGTGCCCAACCATCATCCAAGAGGGGGTAACCTTTTTAGTGGTGACCATGTATGCCTGGTGCACCATTCTTGCACCTTATTGCTCGGCCCGTCAACTCAAGTATACTCAACCATGCACACTTGTGCCTACTTGTCCATAAAACATGTTTGTATCCAGATTCATGGAGAAAACCAGGGTTAAATCTATGTTAAGAACAAGAAGTTTCGTGACCGCACAGTCTACCATATAACCAAACGCTTTTCAAACCTTTTTTAAGGCTTCTTCATAATGGAAATGCCAATTATTTTGGTACCCTCAACTGTACCTAATATGCACTGTCTCCACTCCCCCCCCCCCCCCAACTTGAACAACCCCTACTTTTTATTCTATTTTATTTCTCTTTCTTCCTTCCATGAGGTCATAACTCATAAGATTAGTGCAGTGATTGGTTCAAATAGGATAAACTCATCACCATGTTGCAGTTTTTTTATTCATTTACTGCTTAATCTTAAGTTTGTTTTGTATAATGGTACTAATGGTGCACAATACAAGTACAATATTACTAAACTATATAGCATGCTTTTTTGCAGGCGCTGACGTAACGTTTATTAAGGTCTTAATCCACTAAACTAAAGTCATTATCCTTTTCGATTTTGGGTTTAATGATGCTATTGATAAGCTCTGATGCCTCCAAGGGTGTTCATCAGGAGTAGTTCATCATCAATCACTGAAGACGTGCCGAATCGATCAATCTCTATCTATCAGAAACCAGAACATTTATTAAATCTGATGGCAAGTCCTAAAGTTCTTTCTGGTATGTGACAGCCATAGGAAGCTTCCTCGGTGATCTTGTAGACCAGATTACCGTAAACGAATCAGCGTTAAGAGCTTGATATGCTCAACCTTATTCAAATATATTTCATATAGGAATGATTAAGGGGATTCTCCAAGTACTCTGAGCCACAAGTTTTTTTTTTCATTTAGCCCCACGCATTAACCATACCAATTCACTAATGACATATGCAAAAGCAATATGCAATATGCAATATGCAATATGCTTTACTTATACCATCATCATCATCATCATCATCACCTTTGAACCTAACCAAAAAAGTTGGCGTAAGCATGTCAACTTCATAATTTTGGTGTCTCCATTAGCAAGTAAATTGCACCATGGGGCTGAGCTGCTCAAGTTTTCAAGCAGTTTAATCACAGATTAACTTAAGTATAGGGTCAACTAAACTAAACCATGGTTAAAATATTATATTCCTAAATCCTTTTAGATATTATGTATGCTGGTTAAGTTGTCCTGCAATGCTTTAAGTGCTGAATTAGTTGCCTATAATATAGTATAGAATAATGTACAAAGATATGCTTGTTTCTTATCTCTGATACATGTATGAAGTATCTGCAGATCTGTAGCTCCTTTTTATGTACCAGATTTCTTTGAATTTGTTTCGGATATGCTTCGTTTTGACTATAAGTTCAAGTGATCGGATCCCAGAAATACGGTCCTGCTTACGTTGTATCTCATTCGGAGAAAGAAGTGCTCATTCACATGGTACATTTAAGCTGATCACATATTACAATGCTCAAAAACTTGGGATGTGCAAGATTAGGGTTGACAAAGGTGTCTATGATGATTAGGTTTACATTAGGGTTGACAATATGTGGATTTTTTCTTTTGTCAAAGAAGCAAATTGAACAAAGGAGTTTGGATTTGTGGGTAGGTAAACATCTTCATTCTCCCATAGGTCAGCCATGAAGATGATTGTATCGTCACTGGCTAACGGCTATAAGTACAATAATAGTGCGTGCATATATATATCGAGACAAACACAAGAATTTATGTTAGACGATGCTAATCTATATTAAAAATTTAGAAATACGAAATAATAAAAGTTTAAGGGGTACAATAGAGAGTGTAATCACATCCTAACACTCCCTCGATCCATCCTATATATATATATCATGATCATAGAGGGAACATCATGGGAGTCAAGGGAAATTTTGGTCCCGTCAATTATTTTTTAAGTATTAATTAATATTAAATAATTATAAAAAAAAACTTTATTAGACTCTTTAATTAAAATAAAATTATATTTATAAAAAAAATATTTTAACCTCGCTATAATAAATTTCTAATTCCGCCCTCATCACGATGAAACACCCAGTGAAATTGCAACATATGACCAACCCTGTTTGTTTCAAATTTTGTTTAAATCTCAGGGCCCAACGGCTCTGTGGCTGCAAAGATGAGTGCCATTAATTGACCGTCTTGAGCCCATACTCAGCTTGCAGAATTCTAGAGTGGTACTAGTCAAGCATGTTATCTATCGAGTATTGAGTCGATTTTTAAAGGAAAATAACGACTTTAGAATATAATAAATAGTTGGGTGATTATTTTTTAATTTTAAATAGTCGAAAGACTAAAAAATTAATATTATATAGTCTGAGGACTATTTTGTAACTTTTAATAGTCGAAAGACTTAATAAAGTAGTACCCTATAATCAAGGGACCATTTGTGTATTTTACCCAAGTCTTTAATAGAACTCTCTATTATAATTAAAAAGTGAAAATATCCAAAATTACAATAAGGGTTTACGACTATAATAGTAAAGTATATCATTTGGACATTTTTCTTATAACATTGAAACTAGTCACTTTTAGATCATACATAGAAAAATTTAAAAACTCAACCAAAAGATTCAAACGAAAATTAGATACAAATATATCTAACTTCATCGACAAACAAACCACAAAAGAGGATCAAGCTATTGAAAGACTATTGAGAAACGCAAATCAGAGTCGAACATCGTGAGAGACTATCCACAAATGTGAAATCGCGTATCCAAATTCAATATGAAGATCGATAGCAGGAAAAATCAACAAGATTACATATAAGTGTCATATTGATCAGTCATGGTGTCGTTAAATCCAACCATGAGAAAACATAAAAAATTAAAAAGAATAGAATGGTCGAACGACCGAGAAAGAAGACAAAAAAAAACATTGTACAAAGATAGAGAAACAAACATGACACAAAAACATAATTATTCTTATTAAAAATCTAAAAAAAAAAACAAAGAACCGACAGTCGACAACCAACATAAAAACTAGCGATTAAGCTAAGGTGATTACAAAGTAGTATATATTTTAAGTATTCTTAACCATTTAACAATTAACGTTTAATCACCCCTGCTACAGACACTGATACTCGAACCTGTACTTCTAAGAATAACAATTATTTATTTAACCAACGAGAGATCACATTCAACTTTTTAATTGATTTTGGTATCTACCCATTATTATAATTAAATTATCCCATTGAATTCAACTTTTTTGAGGTACATCAAAGTTTTTAAAAGAGAACAAACTTTCTTCAATGCCCATAAATTTCATCCTCTACTTTTCTAAGATTCCA